GAGGCAGGACTTAAATTAAAACCTTTCTGACTCTAGGGATAATGGTCCCATGTTGCCTTTCAAATGTTAAGATCTGGGCCTTGAAATAATCCCTTCAGCAAATTATTCATCTTGTCCCCCAACACTAACCTTGATTCCTTGATATGACTTGCAAGGAAGTTATGTGACCACCTCCTAATTGTAGGGTCCATGACATATTTTCTAAATATATTGGCATAGTGGGTTACAGAATCAAAATTCTTGGTGAAAGGATTTAGTCTGTTCTCTTGTTTGTCCAGTCCTGAAATGTGATGAGATTGGATTGTTTGACAGGAGTCATTCCTTTATTTTTGGAATATTCCAAATTGGAATTCCAAAGGAATATTCCAAAAATGAAGGAATGACTCCTGTCAAACAATCCAATCTCATGATATGTGTGTTTTGTATGTGTGTGTACGTGTGTTTATACACATATATTCTGGTATATGGGTTGGCAGAATTAGCATCCCCACCCCCAACTATAGGTTTGGGCATTTCAACAATCTTCCAAAAGTCCTAAAAACATTATGTTGTTAAATGACCTTAAATGACATTGATCATCAGGGCCTTGAAATCAGGCTACTTCTAGCATATCGAAACAATTTTATACTAATTTAATTTCTACACTTCTTGCTCATACCAATATTTTTTCCCTTGGTTTTCTAAAAGAAAAACAAAAATAAGTCTCTCCGATGGTGTTGGTTATAATTTTCCCTTTACCATTTAACAAACCAGAAACATTTGCCTTTTTTATGAATTATATTCCATGGGGCAGCTATGTGGCAAAATGGATAGAGCATTGGCTTTGAAGTCAGGAGGACCTGAATTCAAATCCGGTTGTATGATCCTGGGCAAGTCACTTAATCCCATTGTCTAGCCTAGAGAGAAGAGAGAGAGAAAGACAGAGAGAGTGTGTTATTCCATCATTTCCTTTCCAATTCCTCTGTAGGCAATTGGATCCCAATTCCTTTTCCTTAGCTTTTCTGAGGTAACCCCATAAAAGCCATCAGTATTGTTTTGTAACTCTCTCTGGTGATTTGTTCTAGCTTCTGGTGTGTGTGTGTGGGGGGGGGTGTATGAGAGAGAGAGAGAGAGAGAGAGAGAGAGAGAGAGAGAGAGAGAGAGAGAGAGAGAGAGAGAGAGATCTACTAGTATTTCAATTTCTTATGTACTTTGTTTAGGCAATGAGGTTTTTCCTGCCCTTCTCCTTTTTGTATAGAAAAGGGTTCACCTAATATTGTTTATACTATTTTACAACATTCTTTAACTTATGCCTCCTTTTCCAAAATATTTTCATTTAATTCCACAAGTGTAGAAATCCATGTAATTTGCATATTTTCATTTGTTTTGTTCATCCTTTTGCCTTAGAATTCTATGTTGCTAGTTCTTCCTTATTTGCAAGTATCTAATCAAGAGGAGTTGTCCTTTATTTACCCTCTTTTAAATGAGGAATTTGTTCCATACTAAGAACAAGACAACTCAAATATCATTTATTAAGCACTGTAGTATCAAGTGTAGCAATAAGTCCTGCTGATACAAAGGAAGGCAAAAAAAAAAAGCCCGTCTTCTCAAACTGCTCACAGTCTAATGGGGGAGATGACTGTAGACAAGTTATATATGGAATAAATCAGAGACAGTCTGAGAACACATATGATAGTTTATAAGTTGTTTTGATTTTCTAGCAGATGGCTAGCTAACAAATGTAGCAGCATTAAGAAATACAGAGTGGTCCTTGCCAATATCACAAATGCAATTTGGCACTACTAGAAGGACCAGAATTTAATAATAGCTCCAAAGACCAAGTAAATTGTGTATGTTCTGTCTCCTAGGGCATGCCTTGGCATGTACATAAATACATAGACTTTTATTTTCTAAGACCAGGCTTCACTGCCTGTCCACTTTGAACAATTTGCACTTCTAGAATTACACAAGTAAACACATTTCAGTCATGCCAGCTAACCAGATGACAGGCAGCATGGAGTCCAGAAGACCTGCCTTCAAATCCTACTTTAGGCACATACAGGATGTATAATGATGGGCAAGTCACTTGACCATAAAAGCCTCTCTTTAAGACTTTCAGTTACAGACAATTTGCTGATCTGAGTTGGTGGAGGCAGTATCCAGACCATGAATTCATCCACCTATGCAATTACATAGGTCTGGACCAGAAATTAGATAAAAGAACCCAGCCAAATAGAATCACAGCCATTAATAAAGAATTATTCATTTTATATGATCATAGAAATGCAAGTATACCTCTACTTATTCAATAGATATGTCCATATATTTAACATTTATGTCACATGTCTGAGTGTGCTCTTGAGAAAAACATACCTTTGGTCAGGCACTGCGCCCATTTTATGGAGGCAGCAAGTGAGAATAAAACAGCATCAGCCTACGTATAGTTTGCAAAATCTATTCTACAATCTATTAATTAAGGGAAGGTATATCTAAGTCAAATAATCTAGTAACAAACTAATGGAAGTTCCTATTTAAAGAAACTTTCATCATAAAAGCAGCATGGCTTCTAGCAGCTATAGCACCATATTTGGAGTATGGAGACCAGAGTTCAAATCCTGATTAAATAGTTAGCAATGAAAATTCTCATAGGCAACTCATAGAACTTTTCAGGGCTTCATTTTTCTCATCTCTAAAATGGGAATAATCATAATTACACTACCTACCTCACAGGGTTGTTGTGAGGAAAATATTTTGCAAACCATAAAATGTTCTCTATATTATGTAGATTCATCTTTGTAAAAGAAAAAATATTTTATAATAGTAATAATTAACCCCTTGAATGTTGATATAAAGGTTTTCCTAAAACTTAAGCATGTCTGACAAACAATGCTACATTACTATTTTGCCCTTGATTTGCTATTTAATTTATCCTGATTTCCTTAAAAATTGAACCGTTGTCCAGCTTTATGCATTGTTTTTAACTGAGCTGCCTTTTCTCTTGATCCTAACAAATTTAACTTTAAACTCTCCTGTTATTGTAAACTTTCTTATTATTTGTACTCTCCTGAATATTGTAATACTCATTATTATTACAATGTATCAATATATGCTAACTTACGATATATCTGAAAATAATATCATAGAGGTAATATAAATTTCTAAAGTCATATAGAAATAAATAACAATCTATACTACCAATATTTTTATTGGTCCAAACAAATTACTTTGAAATAGAAAAAAATGTAAAATAATGCTTGTTTACTTAATTGAATGCTATCCCCAAAGACTGTGAGACAGCTTTTCTTGTCAAATATGCTTTATAGCATTGGCTTTATCACTGAAATATTCATTTTTTTCCTTTTTGGAAATCCCTGAGCTGATACGAAAGATGTGGCAGGAAGTAGTTGTGCTTCTCTTTACTGGCAGATCCATTCCCAAGATTGGAACCTGTTTTGTTTTTATCCTTTTCATCTTTATATCATCTTGACTGAATATCCCTAAATTCTTACACTGTGGTTTTGTCATTGTGACACAGTTTCATTTGTGTTTTAATCTGATGCATGTTCCCAATAATCAAAGGAGAATACAACAAGCTTTGGCCAATCTTCTTTCACAGGTGATGAGACTTAGCATTTCATGAAAGTCTGGCATGATTTATAATGGGGGCTTAACAACATTGTAATGTAACTACCTCACTATAATTGATCTTGTCTTGACACTGACTTTAATTTAGTACATTGTTATCTAGTAAGCCAGAAAGTAAATGTGTTGTCTATCTTAATGTTACTAAGAACTGTGATACTCTTTGGCAGTCCATGAATTCATCAGACATGGTTTAGATAAAGGTGGTTACTTTTTTCCTATAAATGGAGTAAAAATAATGGTATGTGATATGCCATTCTGACTTCATTTAAAAAATACTCAAATTGACCTTACTTATTGGAACTTTATTTCAGATGGTATTCTTTCACAGAATATCTTCAATTAGTTTAGATACGTAAGAAGTACTACAGTTCATTGGGAAAATATCTGAAACTACAAAGGGAAATGTTAAAAACATTAAATAGAAGAGGAAAACAAATAGTAGTGAATTCATCATTTTATTTACATAAGACCCTGTTTGGATGATTGCCCTCCCTCGACCACCCCTATGAACTGCATTAATAGGGTATTCTGGAACAAATTGTGTTGGGGAAAAGCAATAGAAATCTTATAGAAATTGTGCTGCAGAGTGATGCCAATTATATTCCCTGTAGGGTGTGATATATGTAAAATCATCTTATTTGTTTTTTAATGGTGTGGTATTTCTTTTTTTTATTAATTTTTCTAAGCATTTACTATGACTGCCTCCTACTTCCCACCAATTGAGCAGTTTTTAAAATGAAAAATACAAGCCTTGTGTTCAAAAATGCATAGGCCAGCAAAACAAAATTCCCACATTGGCCATGTCAAAAAATGTATTTCATCCTATTAATTCTGAAAATACAAACTCACACTCCTTAAACTGTTTGTAATTATTTTGAAGTGTGAAAATTAGAATTTTTAGTAGGCAATGTCTTAACATTTTTTTTTTACAGGCAACTGAATTTACCACTAGAACTTGTTCAAAAGAAGACAAGAGGAGAGGGTATCCCTCCCGCCTCCCCCATACTTGTTTCTTTATAACCTAGCTTTATAGTAATTGTTCATGGTTCTTAATAAGATATTAAACCAATTTATATTGTATTTTAGTTTTGTAAATATTTTTCCATTTTGCTTAAGTCACCAAATGTTGGATATTTAATAACCATTGATGAAGATTACCCCCTCTCAATTACTATATTTATTTCCTTAATGGCTCATTAATTAAAATTGCGCTGGATAATATTGAACTTCTTGATTTCAATTATGACAGTTTTTTTAAATTTTTTTTCAAACCCCTGTTTTTATGTGTGTATTTTTTTCCCTCTGCCTAGACCTGGTTAACCATTTCTGTGAACAGGTCCTCAATTTTTTACTTTGTCCCTACTTTCCTGTCGTAGCCCCATCTTCCCCTGGTGTCGACTCCGTACCCTTACAGCGCACAGGCAGTCAGCACGGCACACAGAATGCAGCATCGACCTTCCAGAGGGCCAGTTACGCTGCAGGCCCAGCCTCCAATTACGCAGACCCCTACCGACAGCTGCAGTATTGTCCTTCTGTCGAGTCACCATACAGCAAATCTGGGCCTGCCATACCACCAGAAGGGACTTTGGCTAGGTCACCTTCCATTGATAGCATTCAGAAAGATCCCAGGTGGGTGAAAACTTAATTTTTTTCCTACATTTGATAGCAAAAAAAAAAAAAAAGTTTCTGACTTTTATCTATATTATTACTTTTTACTTGTGTCTTGAGAGTATTGATTTAGTTTGAGTTCTGTGGCTCTATGTTTAGGTTATAGTCCTGTGTGTTTAGAATTTGTCTATGGAATCTACTGTACTTCTAAATTAAACTTAAAGAAAAACTAATGGTATGCTTAGAATTTCTAAATGTGCATTCATTTTCAGCTACTAATAAGAAATAGAGCAACTCTGCTCAATGCAATGGGAGGGGATACTAGTTGGTTGCATCTGAGGACCTGGTCACATGTTTGATTTTTACATTAATTGATTAATAATATCTCCCTTCGCCCTTTTTTAAGTGGATGCCTCTTTGGCCCTCGGTGAGTTTCCTATCATGATGTAAATTCCTGAAGAATTATAGCAGCACAGTGAAAGCCAAGGAAATTCTAGTTACTTTCATACCTTTCCATCAGAAAGTAAACTTTAAGGATTAAATTGTTTCTGAGTTTGCAAAAATCATGAAAGAAATTTATTAAAGAAATTCTTAATAGGTGCTTCTTTCCCCTCCCTCTACCCTCCCCCATAGTAGCATAGGAATCACTAAAGGAGTCACTTCTGAAGTTGAAATTGTTTTGTTGTATACTTAAACAATGTTTTATTCATATTCACTTGATTTATGCAGATAGAGCTGCCATAAATATATGTCTCCATCTGTGAATACTACAGTTATGTCATATTTCCAGTATCTTTATGGAAAGGCATGTGGCTTGAGAATATAAGAGTATTCTTAAAATTCATCCCAAAGAAATTTAACTGGTAGAGCTTAGTAGTACAGATGTACTGTGATGTGGATTTTGCATATATTTCACACAGAAAGAAATCATATCCATTGGCATGCAAATGTTAAGATAGGTAATTTTATGGCATGCTCTGAGATAGCTACTTGAGTACCATTCATACCCACTTTGAAGAAACCATATTAAATTGAGTGTTGAGTATTATCTTGCCTCTGTTATTTATCCAAATAAATGCTAGTTATCATGAATAATGTGAGTGATTATTAATCCAATACAAGGAGTCCTGATCCTTCAGTTTCTCAGGTATGGTATTTGCTCCCATATACTTAGCCCTCAGCTATGTTAAAAATACTTTTGTAATTCTGGTACTAACAGATTAAAAAAATAGATATTTTATAAAAGACATGCTTTAATCTTGGTTTTGATGTCTTATTTTGATGTCTTAAATTGGACAGAACCAGAACTGTGACTTTCATTGATATAGGGAATTCCCCTTGAAGAAACAACCTCTACCAGTACACAGAAGCACTTTCTCTGTAACTCATAGTCATTTCATAGTAGGCAGAAAAGGATAAAGAAGTAAAATGAATCAGAATCATCAAGAAGCATCATGGACTATAGTAGTTAGAGATGCAAATAATCATTTTAGAATAAAATGTATAAAGAATGATTGCTACATATTTTTAAAAAGGAAAAAATGCTTCATCTTAAGTGAATGGATTTTAAAAAATTTTACATCAGATATTGCTTAAAAAGAAACCAAATTTCTGAAAAATGTATTTCTACAGTATTGACAGATCACATTCGGAGTGTTTTATTCAGTTGTATATGCTATATTTTAGTGTAACCTGAGGTTCAAGTCACTCTCTTGGTTGCTGTCCCTTTGTGGACATTAATATGATGGAGAACATCTAGCGGAGGAGGGCAACTAGGATATTGAAAAGCTTTGAGTGGTGGTGTTAGGGGTGGGTAATCATGGAATCAATTGATTTCCTTCAAGTCTACTTGATGGAATATAATTTTGTCCAAGAGGCCATCCAATATAAATCAATATTTGTAACTAAGAAATTGAAGTATCAGGACTCCTTGCATTGGGTTAATAATTGCTATTACATTATTCATGATAATAGCATTCGTTTTGAATAAATAACAGAGGCAAGGTGATGTTGAACACTAAATAGCAACCAGGAAAGCAGATTGATCCTCAGTTTACACTAAAATGTAAAGGGACAAAAAAGGCATTACGGTCTCAAAGTATGAAGAAATCATTATACTCTGTGACTTTTGATTTGATTCCATCATATCTAATAGAATCATAAGGCAGCCAGCATGAGATTGTGCTCTACATTTATGGGGCTGATGTCTTGTAGCTGTTGTTCTTAGGATACTATCTTGGTAAATGCCTTTGCTTTTTGTGTTTTCTGGCTGAAGGTAAATGCATCAGGAGGAGCTTATAAGCTTTGTAGTACTAGGAATGGAGACCCATGGAGTAACTTAAATCAAGAGTAGGAGAGTCAAAGGTGATTCTAAGGTTTTGGATCTAGGTGATTTAGGAGAAAATAATGTTCTTTCCATTTCCAGTTAGCATCTAAAGAGTTGGGTAATATACGCTGTTCTACACCGTATTTAACAAATGTTTCAAATAAAAATAAAAGTTAATTCATATATTAGTGTGTTTGTAGGGTGAGTTGTATATGAGAGTGTTCAAGTCAAGATATGACATCTTTCCTGCAAGAGAATGATTTGATGAAAGAACTAGAAGTAAATTCTGAGGTTCTTAAGGCTGAGGTATCCTCGTGTGCTGTAGATTCTACTATTTTTTCCTACATAAAGACAAAAGTTATCACTTCAAAGTTCCTTTAAATAATTTCATCCATGAGTTTTGCGGTAATAGCAGTTGTCTTATTTTTAATCCTTTTTGGTTAATCCTCTTTTTGGATGTTGTTAATTCCTGATACACACTTCTCAAAAGTAATTTATCAAATGTCAACAAGGGAAAATTATTTCACTTACTGCAATTGTGATTTGCTTGTTTCGCTTGAAGTAGAATTGGTGTGTTGAAACTAATATCTTTGTTGAAAGCACAAAGGAAAATATGTGCATAATTTTTTTATTTAAATTTGATTGTGGTGGACAAAATTAGTACCTGCATTTTATCATAACCATTTCAAGAAAAATTATACAAAGTATGTAATTTTGTTCTCTTGGAAGGGCTTTCTATTCTAATTAATATTGTAAGGAATTATATATAATGACATTCTTATATAACTCTTCTAGATTTAGTTTATGTTACAGAAGGCTCTCACCAATTTCTAGGTAAAGAATGAAAACCCTGGAATTTACCTTGTAGTTTATTTTGCACATGAATGACATACATGTATTTTGTACATGAGTTAGATGCTAAGAAAATTAACTACTAAAAAACTGACAGATAATGAAAGGCAGACTTTTTAAAAACACCTGAGATTATCTTCTATATATTAACTCTCTCTACATATAATAAGTGCATATTTGTTGGCATACTCTCTTCCCACTTAGAATGTAAGCTCTTGGGGGCAGGGGCAATTTTTGACTTTTTTTTTTGTATCTCCAGCCTTTTGCATATTGCCTGACATTTAATAATTACTTAATAAGTGCTTCTTGGGGGAAGCTAGCTGGCACAGTGGATATAGCACTGGCTCTGAAGTCAGGAGGACCTGAGTTCAAATCTGGCCTCAGACCGAACACTTGACACTTACTGGCTGTGTGACCCTGGGCAAGTCACTTAACCTCAATTGCCTAAAAAAAAAAACCAAAAAAACAAAATAAGTGCTTCTTAAATGAATCACTGATAATCTCAGAGAGACCTCATTTTAAAGTGGCTTTTATGTTACTTTATTTGAGATAAATTGACAGGCAAAAAAGCAAAATCAGTTTTTTGACCAGAATTTTCCCTAAGAGGTCAGTTGTATGCCTGAGAATTTATCCATCAAATTGTCTTTGCTTACCTTTGGAGAATTCAAAGAAAAAATTTTCTAAGTGCTCCAGGTAGTTAGTCTCAGGAGGGAAAATCTCTGAAGAATCTGAAGTTCCTAATAAATTCCTTGGGCTGTCTAGGTAACTCCTCCTACATTTATTTTCCCTTGGAAATATTCTTTAAATCCCTTCATCTCACTATATGCTTGTGTACAGAAGATCTTAGAGAGATCTTTTTCACAACCCAAAATTATAATAGCTATTGAACGTGAAGTAACAGACTTCACTTTCACTCTGCCAACCTGGCCACAGAACACGGTAGCCATGAAAATGCAGTTCAGCTTCACCCATTGTATGCAGAAGGTACATTCCTAAATCTATTCCCACTGGCCTCCTTTCAGAATGTTATTTACTAGTAGTTGATTGACCTTCACTCAACACTTAATGCTACTATTTTAAGTAAAAGCGTTTCACAAGGAGTTTAGTTCTGAAGAAATAAAGATGAGCATCACTAAGGCTCATAGAAAACTGTGTGTTGGTTATGAGCAGGCTGAAACATGGAACCAACGATGAATTTTGATGAATAGCTGTAAAGGGTGTCACTGAAGAATTGTATGATAGAAAAAAGAGAACAAGCCTGTTATATAGCAAGAATGAAGGATGACAAATGGACACCCAGAGTGCTCCAGTGATACCTTAACAATAGGTGGAACCCAACAGAGGACTTGAAGGACTATCATCCAGGATGGACAGGGAAGATGGGATGCAGGCTTTTTCTTTAAAGGGAACTTACAAACTGATGAGAACACAGATCCATTTGAGTAGTGACTATTCATGTTTCAAGTAAGGACTGAAACTAGATTGCTAATAGTTCTTTGCAGTGCTAAATCCTGTGAAGCCAAATGTGATTGAGACTATGATTCTGGGTCCCTACCCCCAGAGTTCTTAGCACTGTGCTTGGCACAGAGCATATAATGAGGAAATAATTATTTGAGAGAAACAGACTGGCTTGGTAGATAATGGGATAGACTTGGAGCTAGGAAGACCTGGGTTTGAATCTTGTTTCAGCTACCTACTAGTTATGTGACCTGCAAGGCATTTAGCCTTTCTTACCCTTAGTTTCCTCAGCTTTGAAAATGAACACCAGTAATAGCACCTATCTCACAAGCTACGTGTTTTTTTTAATTAAGTTTTAGTTTTCAACATTCATTTTTATAAGATT